GAGAAAAGAGAGAAGACAGAAAAGAGACCGAGAGAGAGGGGGAGAGACAGAAAGAGAAAAGAGAGAAGAGCAAAAAGAGAGAGAGAGAATGAGAAGGGGGAGGGAGAGAGAGAGAAAAAAGAGGAAAAGAGAAAGAAGAGAGAGAGAGAGAGACAGAAAGAGACAGAAAGAGAAGGGGGGAAGAAGAGAGAGAGGGGAGTGAGGGAGGGAGAGGGAGATAGAAGCCAGGGTGGAAGCCAGGGAGACAGGTGAGCCAGGTGCAACATCCTTTGAGAAGGGTGCCCCAAACCCTTTGCCCTCCTGTCCCCACCTGCTACTTCTGGGTGGGGGCGGGGAGACAGGGATTTCCTCCCCCAAACAACAAAACCCCAAGCTAAAAATACATTCACCATAAAACATCAGCTACAACATTTAGTGATAGTTATAGGCTACCAAATAAGCAATTACATAAATCATACTAGGTTACGAAGTAAACCATTTAAATCGTGAAGATACAAGCGACAAGTGTGCACATTTTACAGGTGCACATTTTATAACCCATGTCTTCCCCCCCCCCACCCATTTTTGGGGGTTGGTTTATGTTACAGGTTACGGAAAAACATAATAACAGCAGAACCTCATTGTCTTAGCACTCTGTAAAATTTGGTTGTGAAGGTGAGAAGGGGATTGAAAAGGCAACCGGTGTGAAAGTTGGAACGCTTCGTTGAGAAGCTTGAGTGATGCTTATAAAATGGGCCTTCTTCTTTTCCCTTTTCAGTGTGCTGTCTTGGCACCTTTAATAATCCCCTATGACAGTCTTGGTCCATTAGGAAGATTCACAAGATATCTGCAGGAGAACCACAGAACTGTTTTCCGTGGAGGGTAAGTTGACTTCAACACTTGGGGACCCACTTCCCTTGCAGGGGCTATTTAGCTCTTAGCAACAGCAATAGCCCTTAGACTTATATACCGCTTCACAAGTGCTTTCCAGCCCTCTCTAAGCGGTTTTGAGAGACAGCCTCTTGCCTGCGACAATCTGGGTCCTCATCTTACCCACCTCAGAAGGATGGAAGGCTGAGTCAACCTTTAAGAGGAAGGAAGGAAGGAAGGAAGGAAGGAAGGAAGGAAAGAAGGAAGATAGCAATAGCCCTTAGACTTATATACCACTTTATAGTGCTTTCCAGCCCTCTCTAAGCGGTTTTACAGAATCAGCCTCTTGCTCCCAACAATCTGGGTCCTCATTTTACCCACCTTGGAAGGATGGAAGGCTGAGTCAATAACAATAACGATAGCCCTTAGACTTATATCCTGCTTCATAGTGTATTACAGCCCTCTCTAAGCGGTTTACAAAAATAATAATTTTCCCAACAATCTGGGTTCTTATTTTACTGACCGCAGAAGGATGGAAGGCTGATTCAATAGCCATATAGCCCTTAGACTTATATACTGCTTCACAGTGCCTAACAGTCCTCTCTAAGCAGTTTGCCAACCTCAGAAGGATGGAAGCCTGAGTCAACCTCAAGTCAGTCAGGATCGAACTTCAGGCTGTGGGCAGAGTTTGCCTGCAATACTGCATTTTAGCCACTGCACCACCATGGCTCATAACCAAGCCAGATGTTTATGTGGACATGTGGGAAAGTTGGTTTCCAGATGGTTGGGAAACGGACAGACATTACAAAAGTAATATGCATCTTCAGACAGCTTCTCTTGCTGCGGAAAACAATGTTTTTAGGAGGATGGTATAGGACAGACAGAGCCCGAAGGCAGAGTCAAGAGAGTTATCAGCCTGGAATCATTACATTTCCACAAATAATGATCTGTGTCCAGTCCTCTTGAATTCTGTTCAGTCTTATCGAATACCAATTTAACACTGATCTTAGTTGACCAGATTCTTGTCTATAGATATGAGCAAGAGATCAACTTAACTGGAATTTAACACATGCTTGACAGGCAGCAATGCAATGAAATGGGAAAACCGGTTACCTTTGCCAAGAGAAGGCTGGGCTCTGATCCATTTGAGGTGGTGTTTCCCAACTTCCAGAGGTGTTTGTTGCAACTCTCAGAATTCTTAGCAGTGCCTTGACTTCTGGGTTTTGAAACCTAGTTTTGTAAAGTCTAGGATTATGGGGAATGATGGAAATCCAAGATTTTTCCCCACCAGAATGACGTTTCGAGGTCAAGCCATCCCAACACAGGACATAGAAATATATTTCTATGACCAAACATCCTGTTTTGGAAGTCATGAGAAACAAAACTCAGAATGGTTTTCTGAGTTCCATCAAATGTGGACAGATCCCAGAGAGGTTTTACAGGACAACCTGGGACACATATTTCTCCTTCTCTTCCTTTTTCCATCTACTCCCCTTCAGGCCTTCTTTCTTCTCAGCCCTTTCCTTCCTTTCCTTAACTGATGCCCCCGGTTGGCTACACTTTTTCAATGACCTGAGGCCAAATAACAAGGCAAATTCCAAAGTCAAATGAGATCAGAAGACAAAAGAAATCTAGAACCTGGGCAAATGCAGACTCATTCAACCTCCCAGAGAAGCAAGACCAGTTTCTGGTCATCGTAGGAGTTAGAGACATTCAAAGTTGAGGAATCAAACTTAGAAAAGCTTCCATCTTAAGAATGCTTCTGTGGAAGACTTCTGGGGAAGATGGGGGAAAAATATACTTGCCAAGTGAGTGTAGATTTAGAATCTGGGGTAACCCATCACCCAACAGTGGTTGACTCCATCAAAGGGGTTATTCTATGTGGTGGAGAATGCAATGAAAAGATAACCTAGGGTAGAACTCAACTCCCAGTATGTTTTGGCTTTAAGAATTGGTTTTAAAAAAACAAATATTGCTTCCAGAGCAGCTGGGAACTTCTCACAGACATATTTCACTACACAACTATAACAACTAGCAGGGCAATAATTTGAATTTGGAGGAGAAAGATTAAGAGGGATGAACACGCATACACTTTTCATACTGTCTTAAAACGAGACTATCCGTCCCTGATGCTGGACAAATCCAGGAAAAGTTGTTTTTCAAAGTGTTGTTGGAAAACCCTCTGGTACCCTTTTTTTAAAAAAAATAAAAATTACTGTATAACCCTATGGGTGATTGAGACACAATGGAGAGTTTCACCTTTTTCCTTTTCTGAACTGACAACTAATTTATTCTTGGCAACCCTGATGCTGTTTTTCTTAATTACAGATATGCGGTGGCTTGGTTAATTCATGTCGGAGAAGCGTGTTTAAGTATCTGGTTATGCAAGTAAGTTCTTCTAACTTCTTCAGGAGTTGAAGGCGACACACTTTGAGTTGGGTTGGTACGGTAGTTTTCTACTTCTAGAAATACTCTTTGTGAACAGAATAGAATATAAAACAGAACAGAATAGGATGCAGAATAGAGAATAGAGTCGAGCCAAGTCGAATAAAATGGAAATAGAATAGAAATAATGGAATGGAATATGGAATAAGAATAGAATAGAATATGGAATAAGGATAGAATTGAATTGAATTGAATTGAATAGAATGCAAAATGGAATGGAATGGAATGGAATGGAATGGAATGGAATAGAATAGAATAGAATAGAATAGAATAGAATAGAATAGAATATTCTTTATTGATCAGGCGTGATTGGACGCATAAGGAATTTGTCTCCAGTACAGAAGTTCTCAGTGTAGGAAGGAAGAAGTGATAAATCATGATCATAATCATAAAATTCAGTCATAAATCTATAAGACATAATGCTCAGTGGTAATCATAGAATACTAAATAAACATAAATCATGAGATAACAAACAACAAAGTTGTCATAAGAAGCTAAGGAATTAGACAAGAGGAAAGATGAAAAGATAAGAAGGATAATGGCTAATACAGCCTTACTAGGTGGTTTGACGTCCCAGGGTGTAAGACCGTGTTGTAGGAATTCATTGTTTAGCAAGGGGGGAAAAAACTGTCCTTGTGTCTAGTTGTTCTGGTGTGCAGGGCTCTATAATGTCGTTTTGAGGGAAGGAATTGAAATAGTTTATGTCTGGGATGTGAGGGGTCTGTAGATATTTTCACAGCCCTCTTTTTGACTCGTGCAGGATGCAGGTCCTCAATGGAAGGCAGGCTGGCTGCAGTTGTGTTTTGTGCAGTCCTAACTATCCGTTGGAGTCTGGGTCTGTCCAGTTTGGTGTCTAAGATAGGGACAACTGCCTCCCACATCTAAAAGGTTGCAGGAAGGACTCCCACATTAATTGTGGAATAGACGTGTGGGAAATATTCAGAAATAATACGATTTTCCACTCCAGTACACATCAGTCCTCGACTTACGACCCCAATTGAGTCCAAAATTTCTGTGGCTAAGCGAGACCGTTGTTAAGTGAGGCTTGTCCCCTTTCCACAAACTTTATGCCGTGGTTGCTGAGGGAATCACTGCGGTGGCTCAGTTAGTAACACCGTTGTTAAGTGAATCTGGCTTCCCCTTTGGCTTGGCTTGGCAGACAGAAGGGCAAAAGGCGACCACGTGACCCTGGGACACTGCAACCATCATAAATGTGAGTCAGCGGCCTGGGATATGAGTTTTAATCAGGTGGTGCAACAGTTTTCGTAAACGTAAAGAATGGCCCCAGGTCAGTGCTGTTGAAACTGCTGTAAGTGGACAACGACTTGTACTTTCATTGCAAGCTTGGATCTGTAAACAAAATATGGTTACTTAAAGACTTAAATTGCTCAGTGTTACATGGAGATTGTGTGGAGATGAAACCACAGGTAGCTGATCTCAGTTGACCTGCCTAACAAGTTCCCTTGGAGGAGACCTCTTACTCAATAGAAGGTGGAGTGTGCCAAATACGGCAGATACCTTTGTGGGATTTCACAACCCTCTTTTGGCACGTTATATTCATCTTGCACTTCATTTCTTTCCCATCCTTTATCTGAGCCCGCAGAAGCAATTACTGGCCCAACTCAGGATGTTCTCGTTGCACAAAAACACATTCATATCTCAGTTGATTTTTCTGCAGGTTGCATGCTTACCAATAATTAATGCAAAGGAATTTAATCTGAAAACATAAGCAGGGTAAGAAGTTGGGTTATACAAGAAGGAGCAGAAGAAGCCGATGACTGTTGGGGGTCCTTGGTGATTTTCTTGCAGACGTTTCATTAACCAAACCTAGGTAACATCATCAGGTCCTTAGTTCTGAGTTTGGTGGTTTTCTTGCAGACGTTCCATCACCAGACTAGGTAACACCATCCGTGCAATTTTCAGTGCAGAATAAGAAGAATAAGGAAAAGAACTGAAGGTCCTCCAGATTTATATGCAGATCCAAAAGAGGTTTTTGTAACTGGGAATTAGGTCCCACGCTGTGAAGAATCAGGAAGGAGGTTAGCGTAGCTTGTTTTTCTGATCGCGGAAATACGTGCCCAAGATCACACGTCTTTATTTAAGCTTGAGCTATTTTCCCAACTCAATAACTACCACTGTCATGCGCCTCTCTTTTTTTTTTCCTCACAGTAAGAAAGGCATCACGGACAGCAAGACGCAGCTTTTGTGGTTCATTCAAACGCTGCTCTTTGGCTTCGCTTCGCTTTATTTCTTGGTAGTTTACAAGCCACCCAAGAAAACCCAGTGAAGAATTGGAAGCGGAAAAGGAAACCGAAATGGGGTGATATATTGCCCTAAACACCGAAGGATCTCTCGGTATTTTGGCATTTCACCGAAAACACCTTTCAACTGTTGCCTGGAAAGACAAAATAAATAAATAAACTTTGGTTTGGGGGCACCCTGGTGATAAACAGACTAGCTGCTAAAGGGGAAATCACATTTTAAATGGGGAATCAAAAGTCCTCACCTTCTTACAGAAGACCTGCTGTTGAAAGGTGGAAGTATCCTGCCTTTTCTATTCTTGTCTTTAATAATAAAAAGAGACCTCGGTATTAGGGTGAGAGCTGTTACACTGTTAATTTGGGGAAATAAAATCCTGTTTTCAATACAGGTAGTTCTTGGCTTACAACAGTTTGCTTAGTGACAGTTTGACGCTAGAACGGCACAGAAAAAAGTGACTTATGACCAGTGGTGGGATTCATTTTTTTTTTTACTACTGGTTCTGTGGGCGTGGTTTGGTGGTGTGGCTTGGTGGGCGTGGCAGGGGAAGGATACTGCAAAATCTACATTTCCTCCCCACCCCACTGCCTGCTTTCCAGCTCTGTTCTCCTGTGCAGGGCAACCAAAGGAGACCCAGCGGATCAGCTAGGACTCGATGGGAGGCAGAGAAGAGATGGGGTTGGCGGGGCCAGTCAGAGGTGGGATTGGACGGCTCTCCGAACTACTCAAAATTTCCACTACCGGTTCTCCAGAATTGCTGAATCCCACCTCTGCTTACGACCATTTTTCACACTTAATGACCATTGCAGGATCTCCATGGTCAGGGGATTTACATTCAGATGCCTGACAACAGACTCATATTTACGACGGATACAGTGTCCCTACCTTTTTTTGTGACCTTCCAACAAGTGACATCAATGGGGGGAAACCAGATTCGTGTTAATGACTGTGTTTATTTAATTTAATTACTAATTTAACGAGGACCCAAATTGTTTGGGGGCCAGAGGCTGACTCTGTCAAACTGCTTAGAGAGGGCTGTGAAGCACTATAAAGCGGTATATAAGTCTCAAGCAGGAAGCATCCTCACTCCCCTTCGGAATGGCAGCATTCCGAATAGTTCATCGGAATGCTGGATATGTAAACCGACTCAAGGAACATACTATCATACGTGGTGGACATGCCCAGTAGCAAAAAAAAAATGTTGGATAAGGATAAGAAGGTGGATAGAGGAAATGATCAAACAACAAAGAGTGAAAACCAGAGATATTCTTACTAAGCATACCGTGTTTCTCCAAGAATACGGCCTCCACCAATAGGAAGGCCCAGCATGTTTTATTGGCATAAAATCAAATTAAGCCCCTCCCCCCCAAATCAAGACCTATATTAAACATGCAAAATGGGGTGGGGGGCTTGCCGTTAGGAAGTACTTTTGTTGCATACCTGGATATGGTGCTGCCTGCATTGGTGGGGCACTTCGTATCGGGAGACCTTCCGCCACCATTGTTTTCCCTTCTCCCTTGCTGCCACTACAACAAAGCCTCCCCTGCCCGAGAGGGCAGCCCAACCCCACGTGGGGAGGCGAATCTCCCGGGGCCGCAGCGCAGGATCGGCCCACCTTGGGAGAAGCACCCAGCCACCATCCCTGCCTGGCGCCATGCAGAGCGCGAAGAGCTTCTCCTGGGGCACCCAGCACAGCTGACAGGCGGGCCCTCCTTCCCGGCAGCTTAGCTCTCGCCAACGCAGTGAGTGCCTCCCTGCTGGGCCCTTCGCTCATCCCACCAGGACTGTACCAGAGCCATGCGGGCTGGGCAGAGCTGGGAAAGCGAGCCATGGGTGCGTGCCCACTGCCAAGTGAAAGAGCTGGGCCGACCCAAGCTTGGCTTACTTCCCAAGTCCCTCCAGCCCAAACCCGAAGGGGCCACCAGGAGAGGCTGCCCGAGGCAGTGATAGCACCCACCCATCCGTGGACAGGGAGGCAAGGAGACTGCCTGCGCCGCGTTCTCCGAGCTGAGCCCTGCCGAGTCAGCACCTCTGCCTGATGCCCGTTCCATTGCAGCGTTTGGAGCTGCGGGGGCATTTGGAGATGCGTGGGGACGGGGACGGGCTGGGCAAGGGGTGGAAAGGACGAGGGGCTTCGGGCTCTCTCCGATGGCCAGGGAAGCAGCGCTGCCATCACCTTGTCTCCCTGTCCGCAGATGGGTGGGCGCTATCACTGCCTCGGGCAGCCTCTCCCGGTGGCACCTTCGGGTTCACGCTGGAGGGACTTGGGAAGGAAGCCAAGCTCAGGTCTGCCCGGCTCTTTTGCTTGGCAGGCGGGCGCACACCCATGGCTCACTTTCCTGGCTCTGCCCAGCCCGCATGGCTCTGGCGCAACCTTGGTGGGATGAGCAGAGGGCCTGGCGGGGAGGCGCTCTCTGCCTTGGTGAAAGCTCTGCTGCCGGGAAGGAGGGCCCGCCTGTCAGCTGCACTGGGCGCCCCAGGAGAAGCTCTTCACACTCTGCCCGGCGCCAGGCAGAGATGGTGGCTGGGCACTTCTCCTGAGCTGGGCTGATCCTGCGCTGCAGCCCCGGGAGATTCGCCTCCCCATGTGGGGTTGGACTGCCCTCTTGGGCAGGGGAGGCTTTGTTGTAGTAGGGCGTCGTTTTTAAAATAATTGGCTTTACCTTCGAAGGCAAAGGGAAGGCGGCGACAGGAGCACCTGAAGCCAAGTGTCTCCGCCGGGCACCGGTTGCAGGGAGGAGCCCTGGCTGGCCGCACGTGGCTGTGCCAAACACCGTGGCATTGCTCTAAATGCCACGGCAGCAAGGGAGAAGGGAAAGCAACGGTGACGGAAAGTGTCCCAATACAAAGTGCCCACCAACGGTGAGGTCAACATCCAAGCTGTTGCCGTCTGCCCACCCAAGGATGCAAGGGGCGGGGAATTAAGTCACCCCCGAAAAGACGGCCTAGCCGTTTTTTCAGGGGTCAAAAAAAAAAAAGGCCCAGCCTTATTTTGTGAGAAACACAGTATTATTACATTGCTCATTTTATAAAAATGCACGAGGTTTCATATTCCATTTTTTAAAAACTAAATTTCAGATCTATCAAGCTTATTTTACATACAGAGGTTGCTAGTCAACGAGTATATTTAGTTTCTTTGAAGGTAGCCAAGTCTTGTTTCATTGGTTGTAAAACCTGTCATAACCAATCATTTCTTAAATTATCATTTTCAAATTTTGTTGATGCAAGCTAGGCGGAGTCATTCTTGCAGCCAAGCAGCCTCTAAATCTCATCAAGAAATAAAAAGTAGCAATAGCTAAACAATCGAGATTTATTTTATTTTATTTGGTCGAATGTTTAATTTCTATCTTCTTTAAGTGGAATTGGGGTCATTGGCCCGAATAAACGGACTAACCAGAGCTGTCTAAACTACAGTGCATTGGACGGAGAGCTGTCTCACAGAATTACTGCTGTCAAGAAAAATTGGAAGAGCTATGCTTCCTTGCAACCCTATACAAAAGGCAGAATATGAATCTAACAAGCACATTATAGTTCCTGTTCAGCTCCAAAGTATCCTTTTTACAGGTCTTTTAAGAAACCCAAAACATTTTCAACAGACAGAGAACATTTTCAACAGACAGAGTTTGCATCTTCTTAGGATCCCCAAACGCAGTAGCCAAACATAATTTAGGTAGAGAATGATTTTTAGTGGGGGGCGGGGAAGAAATTCTTCAGGTCATGCAAATAAGTGGGATCTTTAGACAGTTCAAGAGAGTAGGGAAGTTTGCTAAATTGCCTCAGGCAAGACTCAATTTTTCAGCCTCAGAAATTGGAAATGGTGACAAGTTCAACAATTTACCGTAGATGAGGAAAGAACAAGCGATCAACTTACAACTCAGAAAGAGGTGACTTTGTGCAATTAATTTTGTGACTTTGTAATTAGCATACACACACATACACACACACATATTCATACATACGTACATACATTAATTACAAAGTCAGTTTTAATTTATATATAAATATCAAGAGCAATGGACTCAGCTGTGTTGGCAATATCAATAGTTTGCTACCATCGACTAAGTAGTAGCAAACGGTTGATGTTGCCAACACAGCTGAGTAAGTACTAAGTAACAAAAGTGGCGGCAGCCTCAACTCAGATATCTGCAGATTTTGGAAATTGCACCCAATTGTGGCTTTCTGTGTTGAGAAACAAAATGTGAGTTGATTACAAGCGACTGAACTTTCTGCCAAGAGTACATAAATGTGGAAATCCTCATGTGGTCACCACCTTAATGGGTTTACTTATTAATTTTCCTTCTTGAATGTTCTCTCTTCCAATCAGGCTGAAACACAAGGCAATATCTGCATGATTTGACTCCTTAGGAATAAACTTGCTTTGAAGTCTGAATGTATTTTACCTTAAAAACAAACAAACAAACCGAGAGCAGACTCCTAAGGAAACCTCTAACCCAAAATGTAGCCCAGTGTTTTCTTTAAAAACCTAACATTTTAAATTGAGCTGTGGCAAGGTTGGGCCCTAATACAAAATACTTGCCAGGTCCAAAATGGTGAAGAAAAGATTAAAACAATTCAGACTTGGGAAAAAGTATTTAAGAGATCAACTCTTCTAAAAGATGAAGAAGACAGATCGTTTTCTTCCAGACTGGTTGCCAGAAATAACTAATAATAAATGTTCAGATTAGTAAACATTTAACTTGTAATTTTTAGGGACTACTGAAATAGCAATATTGGACTGACCCAGAAATTAGGAAGATAGAATGATGAACTGGAGTTTAATGTACGCCATTTATAGATCTGTGCGAAAACTCTCTTGAATGAAATAAATAAAACTACTCTGTACTGATAGTTCTTTCAGACTGCAATCTGTTGTGGAGATGTACGTCAACTCTGTCACTGATGGCTCACCAAGTATTAAGATGTTCTAGGAAGAAATGCTACTTGCAATATATTTAGCTTTCCATGTATTTCTTTTTTTTAAAGTGGAGCTTCTCATCAGCTGTCATCATCTTCACCGTTCCACCCATGTTATCATCGGGTAACGATCTGTGAGGATCTTTCTTAATTGAGTAGTATGGCTTCTGTCTCTGGTTTCTACCACACAGGACACCTGGGAAGGAAAAGTGCATTACATTTCAGTAAACTAAATCAGGGCTATTGAGAACTTTCTTTTTTCTTTTAAAGACT